CGATCACTTACTTTATTGATCACTTACTTACTTGATTTGGCAAGCGCATTATGATCGACGAATTGATTTACTGGTGTTGATATGGTGATTTGTTATGTTGTAGTAATGCTACAATAACAGACGTAGAATTATTCACTTATTTGATATTGGATCAGCGAATTAATGCAGCCTAAGTGTAATCACCAATATGAAATTGTTGCTCTCTCTTCGTTGACATTTATCTCATTGTCGCGCAGATAGTGTTGATATTAGTTAGCATTGGGAATGATCGATACATGGATTGATCGATGTATCGATTGGTTGATTGATTTTGATTGTCTTGATCAAATTTTAACTTGGATCAGTGATCAGTGATTTGACAAGCAGCACACTGCTACAGGCAGGTAGGCAAGGCTTGTTGTAGAATGATTTCTAGAACAACTAGTAGAACTCTATTAGGTAGTAAATTTGTTGGCTTGATTCGTTGCTGGCTGATAAATGATATTCAGTTGTGAGTGGTTTATATGGTGTGATTTGATTGATCTTTGACTTTTGGTTTTGAGAAGGTTTATTGATCAATTTGAGGTGTTAATATCGATGAGATGAGATGAGACGGCGAATTTATTTATTTGATGCGATGCGGCGCATTAATACATTCGAAGAGATTTTGACGTGAAATTTTGCTTGAAAAAATGGAATTTTATCTTGCGAATTGAAAATAAAATGGAAGTTGAGCTTTTGTATAAGATTAGGCTCGGGCTCGGGCTCGTGCTCGTGCCCTTGCTTATGCATTTGAAAACTGACTGAGTGGGTGAGTTTATGGTGTTAGAGTTGCTTGATGAAGTGCTTGTTGCCCGTATCGGGAAGGTATGATCGTAAATTATTTGGAACTATATGGAACGAATTGAATTGAATTAATAGCTGCAATTTGGGTTTTTTTTTGGATGAGATGGTTTGAGATGGGACGTTTGTTAGAGAATTATAAAAATGGGTTGATGTGCGACGAAGAGAGATTTTTGGAATAAAAATTGAAGAATGGCACAGAAGGTGGTTGTCTGATAGGGGAAGGCGGTGGTGATGACTGGGTTCGGTGTTGATGAGTGACTGCTGACTTGATTGACCTTTTAGTGGGAATTTCGTAGAGTGCAGTTAGAATTATTAATATTCGTGATATTATTAATATTGATAATAATAATATTATTATTATTATTATTATTATTATTATTATTATTGTAGATGGATAGGTAATCTAAATAAATTGCTGCATTGATATTGGTAATTAATAATGATGTTAGAACAAAAAAGGTCGATAGACTGGTTATGGAGCGTTTAGGTTGCAGTGTAATGATGAAACATTTGGTTTAATTTGATTGATTCTCGTTATTCAAATTTAATTCGTCTTTTTTAAGAGAAGAAAGATTTAGAATTATTATTTTTATTATATGAATGGATGAGATGTTAGTGAAATGAAAAGATTATGGTGCACAGCCCCGGCGACTCGGGTTCGATGGCTCAGGTCAAGAAATTGATTATTTAGTTAATTAGGTAGAAAATTAGGTTTAGAGCTGTGACAATGACAAGTGTGAAGGAGATTTAAGCGTGTATTCAGAGAGTAATTGGATTCGTGGCTTGATATATAATGCAATCGAGAGTTGGCACTTACTTACTTAAGGTGATACTTAGTGATCGAGTTGATACTTATTGATCAAGTTATAACTTACATAAAGCTGGCTACTCACTTACTTTACTGATGTATGTGTTGTGTGGTGAGTTTATGGGCTGATTATTCACTGCGTAGTGTATTGTGTTTTGCAACAATGAGAATGGGAAGGTGATTTGGAGTGGAACAATTTAGAGTGATTTGATACGATTCGATTCGTGATCAGCGGTTGATTACACAGTGGTCGGTTATTTTTTGAGATGTAACAGACGGCACTGTTCTGTTGATTTATAGCTGGCAGCAGCATATTTTATTCAGTTGTTATTATTGTCACTGAATTGTTTCTTATATGTCTCTAAGAAGACAGCCTAGCATGAAGGTTTAGTGGACTTTAGTGTGAACTGTAAGAAGCGATTGATTAGTTGTATTATTAGTTGATGTTAGTAATAATATTATTTATTGTTATTATTATTATTATTGTTATTATTATTATTATTATTATTATTATTGTTATTATTATGAGACGAGTTTGAATAATATTCCAGTTGAGTTTATAGGAGGTGGAGGGGGAGGGTGATGATTTGATAAAGATTATAGGGCAGATCGGATAGGGCGACCTTAGAATCGGGTGCGAGCTTATAAATTGGACGTATAATAATAACATTTAGTTATGATATGTTTATGTGTTGTGTTGTTGTTGTAATGGAGTGAGTTGTTGATAGATATGATGCAAAGGGGTATTCGATTGATTGCGTAGAATAGTTTAATAGTTGGTTGGTTGGTTGATATTATTGTTGTTTGTAATTGTAATAGTAATAGTAATAGTGGTCGTCAATTGAAGGAACACTTAGTTTTTGCAACATTTATTGTTTTATAGTAATGTTATCGTAATGTGGTGCTGGTGCTGGTGCTGGTTTAATGAAAGTTCTGAGAGAGAGAATTAAGTGCGCTTATTTGGAAATAGATTTGAAGGTGCGATTAGATGCGGCGATTATTATTTGTAGTAGTAGTAGTATTTATAGTAGTATTGTTATTGTAATTGATATTAGTGCGTTTTAAAGTGGTTTTAGGAAAAGTTTTCATTTGCTGGAAAATAAACGTGCATATGATATGTACGCTTATTGGTTGATTCGATGAGTATGTTTAAAATCAGAGAATGCTGCAGTGATGTGGTGTGGTGTGGTTATTTAGTGCAAACTGTAGTGATGGGGGTTGGAATGATTAGGTGTGTGGAGGTGGTTGATAGAGCCGGGCTGGGCCATCTGGAGAGTAGAGAGAGCAGTGGTTGGGTTAGTTATTTGGTTTAAAGCAACCAGAATTGAGGCTAACACCTGAGTTTGTTGTTAACATGTTTGGTTGTGCGCAGATAACGTTGATATTAGCGTTGGGAATGGTGGATCGATTGATTGATGGTTGATGGTTGATCTGTCTTGATCAGATTTTAACTTGGAGCAGTGATCAGTGATTTGGCACACAGGCACAGACAGGTGCACACGGCCATTGTTGGTGCCATATTCGGCAAGTATGACTGAATGATTTTTTGTAAAAGGGAGTGAAAAATTAGTGAATGGTTGGTATTGTTGGTGATAAGCGATTAATTCTGATGTGGCAGTGAATTTTTGGTGTGTTTGGCTGCTGATGACATGGAATTGGGAACGTTTAAGGTGTTGATGGGAATGGGATTCGAAGAGAGGTAGGTAGGTTTCGATGGGGTGCTTATTGCGGTGTGTATGGGAGAATATTGCGATGAGAAAGGGCTGAGGTGAGGTGAGATGCGATGCGATCTGAAAAATCAGGCAACATTTTGTTCTGTTTTGATTATTCCATTTGCGTGAGTGATTCGATTGTTTTGTTGAGGGGAAGGGAATGGTGCGAATGTGACGATTAATTGATTAGTTGATAATTGAATTGATAATGGATGGTAGATATAAAGGGCTGAGATGAAATGAGCTGAGCTGTGGGTGGATCCGATGGGATTTTGATGGCGGTGATGAGAACATCTATCTGGTGGTCATTTTGGTGTTGGTCTGATAATGTGTTTATTATTATTATTATTATTATTGTTATTATTGTTATTTTTATTATTATTATTGTAATTGTTATTATTATTAAGATTATTTAGTATTCGCTTAGGCTTAGTTGTATTTGATTTTAGTAAGAATAATAGCAGATGATAATAGGGATGGATAAAGGCGTTTGGAATGTGTGTGTATATATGAAAGAAAGATTGATGAGTTGTTTGTATGGTGCGAATGCTTGATATAATGTATGATGGCGATAAGATGCGTGATTGGATTGTTGCGTTGAATTGAACATTATAATTTATAATTCTGAGATAGATGACACACACGTATGGGCGGTCTGGCATAGGTGAGACAGCAGTACGGATGGCTGGCTGGCTGGTGGGAGGGTGGATGGGTTTGGTGATGAGTGATGAGATTTGATTTTGGATCAATCAGGATTTTGGGATGGATTGATTGGATTATTATTTGGTGATTATTTTAGTAGATTTCGTTATTTTTATGTAGTAGTATTGTATTGTATTGTTTGGTTATTTGTTGTTGTGATGATGATGATGATAGCAGCGTGCGTTCGTCGTTCTAATGTTGCGTTGAATGTCTATTAGTAGTTGTGTAATTTAAAATGAAGAAATTGAACTTTTGAAAGTGTATATGGTTTTAAATGTGGGACGCGTTGGTACCTCGGCTGAGTTTTGGTGTGCTCGCACCATTTTCTGCATATATTGAACATATCGAGCATGAACTGTCGGTAAGATCATTATTGATTCGTATTATTTTAATGATGTTAATTAATGAACGATACAGGGGACGGGGTTGTGTTTTGTTAATGATTAGATTAATGAGGCATTTGATAGGATTACTTTGGCATTGGCACATTGCTGCATGATATCTTATAGCTAAGTACAGATTCAGAGGTTGATTTCATATATCTCTTTGGTATCCATCCCTCACGAATCGTCTGCTGTCTCTTTCGCAACAATTATTGATATTTCGTCTATTAATGAAGTCTTTGATTTATTTATCTCTTGTATTATTTTTGTTATTATTATTATTATTATTATTATTATTATTATTGTTAGTGTGACTGTCACTATTATTGTAATTGTTAATTGTGATGATACGATAGTGATAATATATTTTAGCATTTAAAGCCATCATCGACGTGTGGCGCAGCGAGCGTCTCATTAGGCAAATACCATTTGCCGATAGCTCACCGGCAGTCAACATGCTCGTCGTCGACGTCCTCGAGTGCCCTAGCACCAGCAGAAGGTGTAACTGAAGCTGTTTCTTCATCAGGCTTATTTTCGAAAACAACGAACTCATTTAATAATAACTATTATTCATCTGAAGATGATGATAATAATTATTATTTTAATAATAATAATAACAATAATAATGATAATACGAACTATGAAACGACAAATTTATATGCGAAAAACGCGACCAAAGAAGTAATAGAAAATATAAGTGGAGGAAAATTATTAACACATGGATTATTATTCTCAATGAAACAACAAGATGATTTTAATGGTAATGATAGAATTTATGTTTGTTTGTTATGATAGTAGTAGTAGTATTAATGTAATTATCAATTATTGAGTGATGATGGTTTTATTGACGGTCAGAGAATAATTATTGATAGATCAGTTGTGATCGTTTACAGTAGTCACTGACAAGCAAAGAGGAGGGGGCGACGATTCGCCAACGCTAGACTCGGCCACCGTGTCTGGTGGAATTGCCACTAAGCAGCAGCAGCACTCGCAAGAAGGAGGTGGTGGTGGTGGTGGTCATCGTTCACGAGTGGATGCCCAAGCGCATGCACGTGGTGTCCCTCCTGGTGCTGCTGCCGCTGCCGCAGCTGATGTGTCCGGCAGCAACTCACAAACGACACCAACCTCGCATCGTGCAGCAGCAACACCCCCAAAACAACCACCCAAATCCCTTAGTGTCCTCGGTAAAGTTGCCAAAAAGAAGGAGCTATTCGAGCTGGAGCAAGATCACGACTACTCATCAACGTCCTCATCCACATCGCCTAAACCATCATGCCAGTCCCCGACGAAGCAGATTGAATCTGAGCTCAGATCGCAGCTTGAACACGATCAGACACGGCCTACTGAACAGAGCCCAGATCATAAAAATGAACACGAAACAATGTTTTCGTGCAATAAGAACAGTAATAGCAGCAGTAGGACGAGTCCAGCAGCTGATACAGATGAAAATAGCAGTAATAATAATGTACTGTTACCAAGTCAAGATGTGAATACAAATACGAATATTGTGAATAATAATAATATTAATAATAATAATAACAATAATAATAATAGTAATAATAATGGTAATGGTAACGCAACAGCCACAAATGGATTGTATGAAAGGGTGAGTGAGTTGTTTGTGTTGATCATGGTTATATAATTTGTTAATGAATAAAAGCAGCAGCAGGCAGGGAAGAGCGAGTCATGCATAAGGTACATTGAATTGTTTGAGGTACAGGTACGACGAAGGCCTCAGCAGAATGAAAACGATGACGAGAATGACGAGAATACGAATAAAATGCCAAGACTTCGAATGACTGATCGACAGGTTAGGATTATAAAGTGGTGTATGATCGGGTCAAGGGTCACTGCCATGACATCATCAAGTGTTTTGTAGGTACTTGAAGAGCTGAAGCAAATCGTGAACGACGGTGATCCAACGGATCGTTATGAATTAATCGAGAAAATTGGCGTCGGGTGAGACTGAATTATTTGGTGTTATTTGTTTGAGTGGTATTTTTAAGCGAGCGATTATGACACGAAATTTAGTAATAATAGTAACAATTAGAGGTATCTAAATACCTCTAAATCAACGAATATTTCATTTGATGTTTGTATTTATTTATAAAATGCAGTGCATCTGGCCGTGTCTATACAGCGCGTGATAAGTCAAACGGTCAAATCGTGGCCGTAAAACGTATGGCGTTCAAAAGCCAACCTAAAAAGGAGTTACTTCTGACTGAAATCAAAGTTATGCAGAAATATAAACATCAGGTGATTTGTATGCCTGTTATTATTATTATGGTATTATGAGTATTATTTTTATTATTATCGCTATTTAATTGATATTATTGTTATTATTGTTATTATTACTGGTATTATTATTATTGTATGAAGAAGAATTTTTTTTTGTTGTTTCTAGAATTTGGTGAACTATATCGACAGTTATCTGGTGGAAGCGGATGATCTTTGGGTG